CCTGGGAACTTGCCGGTGATCCTTGGCAGCTATGAAACAATCGCATGTGGTCACAATCCTGCCCCACTCCCTCTGGAGCCACCCCCCGAAGATTTTCTAGAGCTTGTTGACTCTTCCTGGTCTTTAATTCTGCCTTCGGGGGCGATGCTCATTTCCTGTGAACATGACATAGCTACATGGCTCTGGAAAAGGCCGCTGCGTACGAGATGCTCTGGAGTCATGAAGCCCATCGTCGCCAGCATGGCCTCTGTCGGTTGCGGATTTTGGAGTCGGGGATGCTGCAAGGTTTTGGGGGGCGCTTTCTCAAGCCCAGTCGCAATTCTGCCGTGCTTGAGCTCGGTGGCCCGTCGGCGCTTGAAGGCGTCGACGTCGCCGTCTGCGGTGAAACCAATGGGGTCCCAGAACCCGAAAGGTGCCTGCACAGCAGTGCTCAGAATAGTGCAGAATAGCGCAGAGGCAGGTCCGTGCTTCTCTGACATCACTCATCACATCCTGCCCCTTTCAGCACGTGGAGGGAAAGGTTGAAAGGCTCAGAGGCACGCATAAAGACTACCTTGTCGCAAAGCCGAACACCAAAGAATCGGAGGCCTGTACGCCGAGCTCATTCTCAAAGGCGCTGACGACCACCTTCCGTGTGCCACCGCCGCAGGCTGTGCTATGACGTGGGGGCTGTTGACTCCAGGAGCCCAGGAGAACCGGGATCCTGAGGCTTCCGCAAAGAGACCTTGAGCAACGGCCGAAGTTGAACTCCCCTTCAACATCCCTTTTTAGATGCACACCGCCCATCGGCCCATCGGCCCATCCCGTCTCCTCAAACCTTTCAGGAGACATTCCCATCGGCCTGGGACTTGCGGCTCTGGGCCTGCGCTAGGGCTCTTAGGGCTTTGTAGGGCTCTCTTAGGTTATTTTTTTTAAATAGGGGCCTTACGGACACGTCTTTTGTTGCTTTGGGGGGGTGAAAAAGGGGGAGGTTGATTGGTCGAGGGCTCGTGGAGCTGCGTTGAAACCCGGTCCCGGAGCCCCCACGAAGGGCATAAAGGCTGTGTACGGAGGTGCCGGAAACTGGGTGGGAAAAGGCAAGAGCCAGCACTCCCTCAGCACTCAAAAAGTCTCGAGACGCCCAGGGCAGATTTCCCCAAATCCGACTAGACATCTCTTCCCTTTGTCTCGAGTCCGTCGCCCGAAGAGTCGAACACTGCAAGCCCCAGAGAGCCCAGTCCTTGCCGCGAAGCTGCGACGCGAGAAGGGCCTGGAAGCTCCGACGGAAAAAAGAGCGATGTTGACTCGGATTCTCTCAACTCATAGGCCGCGATTCTTGTGCAACAACAGATTCGGGTCCCCATTCAAGCTTCTTGCGGCCGGAGCTGGGCAAGGTTGCAGTGCGATGCACAAGCACCATGCACTGTATTTCACTATGAGATGTCGTCTTTCTACTTGTACAGGTTGTGGCTGTCTGCCGATATACCTCCGCTACTCTCAGCACCTAATGCTCTTTGAGCGGCTGATGCTGTAGCTGCGGCCGTACAGCCAACGAGGCCTGGCGCACTGCTACCTGACGGCCCACACTGAGAACGTCCGAGTCTTCAGTCGAGGTTCACGTGAAGTGGGCTTTCCAAAGGATGGGCTGGTAGAGTCACGAGGCGGCTATAAGCAACTGGAATTTTTGATACCCTCCCAACTGTTCAAGCTTGCCGCATTCGTGCCGCACCAATGAACCCTCACATCCCCCAAGGGCCCGACCTTGGAGCAAAGACCCTCCCTGCGGGCCTGTCGCGCTGCTCTGTGCAGCCGCTCGGCCGCGTAGCTGCACGCTACTTCTCTCCGGAGCCTCCCCCGGAACATCCCGCCGGAAAGAGCTTTTTTGGAGAGCCCCATGAAATGTTTACAAAACACACCTTCTGGCCGAGGGCCTGAGCAGCTGGGCCGCTTTGGACGAAGGCCTCGACTCGTTGGCTTCCGTCCGAGTCCGACCAGGCTCCCATGCCAAGAACTTGTTCTTTGCAGCCCTGGCGGCCGTAGTGGCCAGCGTCGCCGCCGCGCCAGCAGCGACGGCCAAAGCGGTCTTCTGGCCTTGATGCCCAGCCACTCAAGGGCCCAAGGGTATCTAAACCCCTTTGCGCTGCAATGGACAGAATCTCGAAAGGCCGCTCTTCCCCCCCTCAATCCTTGCGATCAGATCTCGAAACTCAACTTCTGAGGTTGAGATCCTGGGGCCGCCACTTGAGGGCATCTTTGCAGTGGCGCAACAGCCCTACTCTGCAAGAGCCTGCAAAAGCCTGCGGTAAAAGCTTGCACGTGAACTCCGACTCTACATGGTCATACATCCAAAATGCGAAGATCGAGGAAACATTGCAAGGCTCAAACGCAAGTGCGGTTTTTGTGAGCGTCCAAATTCTGTACATAATGACGGACGCGTCCTAACATCGGAAATCAGCTGTCGGCACTTCATAGCCCTGGTTCGACATCTTTCGCTCAGGCCAAGCCGAACTGCTC